AAGGACACGCCCCCCTGTCCTCCTTGGTATGAATGGCAGTGTCTACTCCTTGATTGTTAGGGCTTGGTCATTGGAGGGCACCTCAGGCACCTAGCGCAGGGCAGGTTGCTACACATGCAGACTTCCCACGGGACTCTGAACTTCCTCTCATTTGTGGTTCAGCCCCTTGTGATCCGGTTTTGGCAGGGGTTTAGCAAGCGTGGATCACTTGAGCCACACCCCCAGCCCTTTCAGCTTTAGTGAGTTTTCAGGCAGTCTTGAGTCTTTTGTCCAGCCAGCCTGGACCTCAATCCTCCTATGTCTGCCTCCCTTGTAGCTGGGATGATAGGAGACAGACACTACATCCAGCTTTTTTGTCTACATGGGGATCTTGCTAACTTTTTGCCCTGGCTGGCCTTGAACCTTGATCCTCTCAGGTAGCTGGGATTATAGACCTGAGTCATTGCACCCAGCTGATCTGAGTTTCCTTTGGGCCCAGACTTCCCTTCTGTGAGGGTACTTCTCGGATTGCAAACCAGGCATGGATAGAAGACATCCCACGCTTTGAAATCACTGCCCACCCCCCACCCCCCACCCCCAATCTCCCTCCACCTCTCTGCTTGCTCCTTCTTGGTCTCCAACCTAAAGGACCTGCCCCCAGGAAACCTGTCATTTCTGTTCATTATCTACCCCTTCCCCAGCTCTGGATTTTTACCCTGCCCTGCCTTCTTGGGGGCAGTTAGGAGATGCCTGGGGCGGGCGGAAGACCTAGTCTGCCTGTGGGCGCTCTTCCAGCACTGATTTGGGTATGTTCCCTTGACTGGACAGCCTTGGGGTCCCCCAAGCCCCTCCAGCACTGCTCTGAACAGTGGATTGGTTAGCTGGCCTCTAAGGACCAGATGTCTCACCCACCCCACACCGTACCTCATCACATGGTGCGTTACAAGAAAATCAGTCTCAGACTGTGCTATGTTTTAAGTGATTAAAACATCTAGGTGGGTGCTGGTGGCTTACGGCTGTAATCCTAGCTATTCAGGAGGCAGACATCAGGGGGATCATGGTTTGAAGCCAGCCTCAGGGAAATAGTTTTCAAGACCCTATCTCAAAAAAACCCCTCACACAAAAAGGGCCGGCAGAGTGGCGCAAGTGGTAAGAGCAGGTGCCTGCCTAGCAAACATTAGGCTCGGAGTTCTAACCCTAGTGCCGTGAAAAAAACAACAAATAAAATATCTCCTACCAGTGACCCCAAAATTCAAAGTTATGCTGACCAACAACTGGTCAACCCTGCAGTTGGATCACCATGGGAGGGGAGATACAGGGCTAATGAAAGAAAGTTCTAGACCCAAGGGCACTGCTCCTTGGGGTTCCTGAGCTGGTTTGATAGAAGCAGTATTTCTTGTCAGGCACCCCTCCCCCACCACCCCACCTCCAGTCCTAAGTCACTGGCCCTGGGCTAGGTGCACAGCCACAGGGAATGTAGCTGCCCGAGTGAAGACTTTTTCTTGGGATCTTTCAAACCCTAACTAAAATGAATCCAGGCACTCACCAGAACCACACTGTTTCACGGAAGTGATTGCAGCCAGCACGGTTCGATAGCCCGAGGCCACCACCAGAGCTCCAAGTGCCAGCCTCTGCCCTGGTGGCCTCTCTCCAAGGTGCCTTGGGCTCCTCACATCCTGTTTCTGGGTTCTCTCTGGCCCAAGTCAGCCCCAAGTCAGCCCCCACTGAGTCCCGCCAAGCACTACCCAGTGTGCCTTCCAACAGACTGGATTCCCAGAAATGGGGGTATGTATGGAGAGGGAAAATGAGGAGGAGGAAGGAAGGGGAGACTTGGGGGTCCCAGCTCACTGAGTCTCCCCTTCCAGGACAGCAAGCTGAGGGTCACAGAGAGCGACCCTGTGGCTTGGAACTCACCCCACTGACTCTCCTGTACCCGTGCACTCCTCCTCCGCTAACTTTCATCTCCTTGGCCCTGGCCCCACCTTCAGCCAGGACAGTGGCAGATTCCAAGCTCTCCCTTGTCCCCTTGCTCCCTTGCTCAGCGAGGCTGTCCTGCTATAATCCACAGCAACTGCTGTGCACTCAGTTTTGGGCCAGTGGAGTGGGCCAGACTCAGGGAGCCCAGGGGTGGGTGTCACTGTGCTCTGGGATACACAGGAGCTCAAGTGGCCCACAAGGGGGCACACAGAGTAACAGTGGAAGCTGACTAGAGGCTGGCCAGCCACCCCCTCCCCCCAACACACACACACCTCAGGGACTCATGTATTTAATTCATTTCCTCATTCTGAGTTGTCCTAGGCACACACCAAATGCTTCCAGGATGACAAACTGTTTGTCACCGTTGACCAGATTCCACTGGCAAACACCCAGCTGACCTTGGGCAGCTCCCCTGGTTACCAGCTCCTGTGAGCCCCTGTGGTTCTGGGGCCTCCTGGGGTAGGGCAAATACGAATGATAATGTTAACAGCAGCCTGCACCATGATGCTCACTGTGTAGGGGACACTGATGTGCGTGCTTCCCATACGTCATCTCACATAAATGCACTGGCAGGAAATTGAGGTCTCAGGGGGACAGGAAATTGAGGTCTCAGGGGGACACACCACCTGCCCCTAGTGGTAGCCAGGAAGTACAGAGCCCTGACCCAACCCCAAACCGCTCTAGCTCCCAAACCTGAGCTCACAACCCCTTCCAGGGCCTGCTGTGTGCACCATCACCCGGTACAGGAGGAGGGCCCCAGCACTGGGGTTGAGGCAGGATAGATAGATGAGACAGGAAAATTACATTATTTTAATAAATATTAAAAGGACCAGACTCAGTCATTGGAATGAGGAAGTAAAGGCAGAGCAGCTAGCTCCCCTTAACTTTTAGAAGTTAAGTTATAAGAACAGAGAGACATAAAGTGGTTATCTACATCTGCCTTCCTCTTTGAGATGTCAACAAGCTACAGACAGAAAGAATGACAGGCAGAAAGAGAAGTGCTAAAACTCACCTATTGTCCCTTTGACTTGGGTGGGCCTAGGTAACATTTAAGCACACATCTTAGCCACTCAGATCCGTTGTCTAAATGAGTAGAGGTTTCTAGGCAGGACCACCTCTATTCCCTAGCTCAGGAGAGTATAAGACCAGAAATACAAACCACCATTTTGAGTTTTTACTCCCATTTCCTGCATGGGGAACAGGAAATGTTGTACACCCTTCTTACCTTATCCTGTTATATTAAAATAGATCTTTGCTAAAACTTCCACCTTGGGAGACTCCCGGTTTTGAGGCACCTGGAAATGTTTTTCTCCTTCGTGGATCTCAAGAACCTGTGATTGTGCATAGAAACTGGGAAGCTGTGGGAGCCCTCTCACCCCTCTCCAACAAGATGAAAAACTAGGTGGGCTGTCCTCAGCAAGGTGCCTTATGTACAGCTAGGGAGTGGCCCTAGTCCTTCCTCAAGGCCTCACTTGCAGGGCAAAAGCAGAGAACATGAAACCCTGGGTGGTGCCAGGTGTGGTAGGATATGCCTGTATTACCTGCACCAGGGAGGCTGAAGCCAGAGGACTAAGAGTTCAAGGACAGCATGGGAGACCCCATCTCAAAAAACCCAAACACAGTGGGCAGAAGAGTAAAGTGAGGAAAGGTGCTCAGGGCCAAGCTGGGATGAATGAGGCAGGGGACCAGTTGTGGGTGGCCCTCGGGGGCAGGCAGCCAGACCAACGGGACTTTGAGTTGCAGGGTCTTCCTCCTGTCTGGTACTTGGGCATGTTGACCCCAGGGCTAATTCTGCCTGGAAGGCCCTTTGCCTTCCCTGCTTGGCGCTTACATCTTGGAAAATTCCATTGCATGTTTAAGTTCCTCCTGACCTGCAGAGAAAGACTGAAGGAGCTCTTCACCCAGCCCCATAAAGTTGGGACCCAGTAGGACCTCCTGGCCTCCCTACAACGCCCCTAGGCAGAAAAGTAGCGCTCAGTCCCTGGGAGAAGAGCCTGAGGGAGCAGAGACTGCCTGGGCCTCTCCTGGGTGCTGGTTCCCTGGTTTGTTTACTGACCATGGGCTGTCACCCTTTGGGCTTGGCTTTGTCTGTGCCTCCACTTACTCCTCTGTAACTGCAGGAATAATTACACTGCAGGCCTCAAGAAGTAAGTGAGTCATTCATGACTGAGGGCCAGGAGCCAGCTTGGCATGTAGTAGCTCCTGGATGAAAGTTAGCTGTTGAGTGGACTAGGAAAGGTTTTCATTTTAGGGGGCCCTACTGTATTCGCAGTACTGGGACCCCAACATGCAAGAAGACCAGAGCAGACACCTGTTCTGGCTTACCTGCTGGAGGATTCTCCACAGCTGGATGGGACCATAACTAACCCCAGCCAGAGTCTGCTCCCTCCCTGTTCTGTATTTGTGCAGCCCACTCCCCAACAGAAGCTGGGCCTGGCACACACAAGAGGATAAATAAAGGCTTAGGGACAAAAACGATTCTGAGTGGAATATTTGTTGGTGGTTTAAAAAAAAAAAAAAGAAGAACGAAAAAGGAAGGCGACTGGGCTGCGGTAAACTGGCCTTCCTTGGTTGCTTGCAGCAGTGTGTGGGGGAAGGGAGAGAAAGGGGGTCAGAGGTGAAGTAGGGGCACTTGCGGGCCCAGAGGAACCTTCCAGAACCGTGATCCGGGCCGGGGTCTGACAGAGGCATCCCAGCCACCTCGCCACCCCTTCTCGTGGGGGCCCCAGCCACTCTTCCTAGGCGCAGCCCTAGGTAGCGGGCCCCGGGCCTGGGAAGAGAAAGGGGGACATGGCAGACGGCCGCGGAGGGGAAAGGCCACTCGTCTGCCTGGCTCCCCGCCTCCCGCCCCCCACACCCAGGACAAGTCGGACCGGGGCCCGAGGGCGCCGTGGGCGTGGAGGTGGGCGGTGTCCGGGTTCCCCAGTGACCTGGAGGCCCCGCGGGGGAGTCGCCGAGCGAGCCCCGAGGTTCCGTCTCTGCCCCTCACGGTCGGGCCGGGGTGTCGGCCGCGCGGAGCGAGGACCGGAGCGCCGAAGGGGTTAACGCACCTGGGCCGCCGCCCTGCGGCCCCTCCTCCCGCCGCCGGGAAGACGAAAGCCCGGGAGGGGGCGCGGCCCGGCCTTCGCCCGCCGTCCCCAGCCGCGGCGCGCACAGCTGCGACCCGCGCGCCCCGCTCCGCCGCCCTGGCCCGGGCCGCCATGTCTCTGTGGTGAGTGGGGGACCGTCGGGCAGGGACACCCCCGGGCTCAGCCCAGACGGGATGGGAGATGCCCCTCGGGCAGCCGGGCCGGCGTGGCGGCGGCTGGAGGTGCCCCGCGGTGCGCGGCGGCCGAGCGGCAGGTGGGCGGCGGGGGACTCGGCTCCCGGGCCCGGAGGCTCCGGCAGCTGGATCCCATCCCCTAGCCGGCCGGGAGCAGGGATCCCCGAGGGTCCCCGAGCCGGGGACCCTCGCCTCCCCTCCCGGGCTTTTCCCATACAAATGCTGGTGCAGGCGGAGCGCGCCGGGAGCGAGAGGGGCCTCGCTGCGTCCGCCCAGGTGCGGCACCTCTCACCACCCGGGCTCCCCAGCTGGGTGGGATGCGGGATTCTCTGGAACCCCACCCAGAGCCAGCGTGCTTTCTTTGCCTCCCCTCCCTGGAACCTTGATTTTTCACCGCCCGCCCCAGCCCAGTACCTGCGGTGACCCTGACTCCCTCCAACCTAGTGCCTAGGAAATCTTGGGGCCCCATGGGAAAATCTCGCTATTTGGTGCTTAGCCTTCATTTTCCCTGGATTCCTGGACCCGCCAGCCTTCATTCTATCCCAGGGGTCTTCCTGTCTGTCCCTGTTGCCTTGGAGGTCAGCGCCATCTCCCTGCCGGCCCAACCCTGGAAGGCCACCCTGCTGACCTGCCCTTTCCCTCTTTGTGAGCTGAGAGGGAGGGTCCCTGAGGGCAGGGCCCCATACGTAGGTTTGGCCACTCCTGGAAAGAGCTCAAATTTCTGCTCCTGAAATGGATGTGGTGGGGTCACCTAGACAGAGAGGATCCCCGGGGGTGGAAGTGGTGGATTCTGAATGGGCACGTGTTCCCCTCCCAGGACAGAAGGGCTGGGGACCTCATGGCTCCAAATAGGATGTTAAGGTAAGGATAAGGAGGCAGTGGTCACGCTGGGAGCTGCATACTCCACTTTTTGTGTGTGTGTGTGTGTGTGTGTGTGTGTGTGTGTGTGTGTGCGCGCGCAGTACTGGAGCTTGAACTCAGGGCCCACACCTCGAGCCACTCCACCAGCCCCTTTTTTGTGAAGGGTTTTTTCCAGATAGGGTCTCATGAACTATTTCCTTAGGCTGGCTTCAAACTATGATCCTCCTGATTTCTGCCTTCCGAGTAGCTAGGATTACAGGTATGAGCCATTGGCACTGGGTTCTACTCCACTTTTTAACCATATGGATCTCCCTTTTCTGTTTGGTCAGCTGCGCTGGGGAATTGCAAGTGAGATCCTTCTCCCACTGTACCCCATATAGTGACGAGTCTCTCAGGCTGCCGAGAGGGTGCTTTTTCTGCTTTTACTGTGACCCTGGCTCAGAGTCACCTGATCGTCTGCTGCCCACTGCTCCTGGGTTGCACAAGGAAATGAAGGCCAGAGAGCAGGGGATGGGGCATGGTCTCCACTAGTTTCTTTCTGATAAGATGATGACAGTTTCCCTAACTGTGCTCCCTGCACGTCTGGTGCTGTGTGTGACATTCCCATCCTGTGTTCTGTCCCCTTTGGAGGAAGAAGAAGTTGTGGCTTGAAGTTAACTCCTACCGGAATCCATTTGGCTTAGAAGTGGGAGGGTTGGAACCCCAGTAGCCTGATCCCCCAGTTCCCCAAGAGTCAGGCGCGTGGATAGGAAGCAGGACCTTCCTGACGACTCAGGGATTGGAGATCCTGCCCCACTGAGGCTGTTTAGCTCCTCAGGAGGGATGTCAGAGAGTGTCACTCAACCTTTCCTCCTCTTCTGTACCACTCTCCCTAGGAAGAGAACCCTCTACAAAAGTGTGTGTCTGGCCCTGGCTCTCCTAGTGGCAGTGACAGTATTCCAGCGCAGTCTGACCCCCAGTCAGTTTCTGCAGGAACCTCTACCACTCCTTCTGGAGCCACTGAAGACCCAGAAGCCAAGTGGACATCTTGTGAACCCCAACAGCTTCTGGAAGAAGCCAAATAATGTACTGGTGCCCACCCCCATGCCCTCTCAGGGGCCCCAGACCTGGGACATTACCACCACCAACTGCTCGGCCAACGTCAACCTGACACAACAGTCCTGGTTTCAGGGCTTGGAGCCACACTTCCGGCAGTTTCTGACCTATCGGCACTGCCGGTACTTCCCCATCCTAATGAACCACCCAGAAAAGTGCGGAGGGGGTGATGTCTACCTGCTGATAGTGGTCAAGTCGGTCATCACCCAGCATGACCGCCGCGAGGCCATCCGCCAGACCTGGGGCCGCGAGTGGGAGACTGCAGGTGGGGGTCGGGGCGCTGTGCGCACCCTCTTTCTGCTGGGCACAGCCTCCAAGCAGGAGGAGCGGACCCACTACCAGCAGCTGCTGGCCTATGAGGACCGCCTCTATGGGGACATCCTGCAGTGGGACTTCCTCGACAGCTTCTTCAACCTGACCCTCAAAGAGATCCACTTCCTCAAGTGGCTTGACATCTACTGCCCCAGCGTCCCCTTTGTCTTCAAAGGCGATGATGACGTTTTTGTCAACCCCACCAACCTGCTTGAGTTTCTGGCTGACCGGCAGCCACAGGAGAACCTGTTCGTGGGTGACATCCTGCAGCATGCACGACCCATCCGCAGGAAGGATAACAAGTACTACATTCCCACCGTCCTGTACAGCAAGACCAGCTACCCACCCTATGCAGGCGGCGGGGGCTTCCTCATGGCCGGCAGTCTGGCCCGGCGCTTGCGCCATGCCTGTGACACCCTGGAACTCTACCCCATCGATGACGTCTTCCTAGGCATGTGCCTGGAGGTGCTGGGGGTGCAGCCCACCGCCCACGAGGGCTTCAAGACCTTCGGTATATCTCGGAACCGCAACAGCCGGATGAACAAGGAGCCCTGCTTTTTCCGCAACATGCTGGTGGTGCACAAGCTGCTGCCCGCTGAGCTGCTGGCCATGTGGGGGCTGGTGAATGGCAACCTCACCTGCTCCGTCAAGCTGCAGGTGCTCTGACAGCACTGGGCCACCAGGGTACTGGGCCTGGGCCTAGCCTTTGGTCCCCTGTGGGAGGTGAAGGGTTTGGGCCTTCTGTGCCCCTAGGTGTGGTGTGGTACAGGGAATCGGAGCAGGGCTCCCAGAAATTCTTTGAAAGCAAGGCCCAGAAACGGTTAGAGCTGCCCAGACTGGGGGGTATCTAAGGAACTGGTACCCTCCTAGCTCTGGGTCCGTGGCCTGGCTCCTCTGACTTGATGGGAGGCCCCAGTGGCCTCTGAAGGAACACTTGCTCAGGTACCTGGGCTGGGCCTGGCCCCAGTGGGTCTGTGCTGCCTCATGTCTTCAGAGAATTGTCTTCTTGTGGAATGACTCAAGTCTCCCTGAGGGCCAGGCAGCCCTTGCAGGAGATGCTCAGCCCTGTGCAGGCTCACAGGTGCCCCACAGTCTACACTGCTGGGTCTCCCAGGAGAGGAGCTCAGCCAGCTCTCAACACAGTCTCAGCCCCTCCTGGAGCCAGCTGCTTTGTCGCTGCTCCAGGGGGCTTCACTCCTGGCTGCATCCTCTCAGGTCCGGTGGCCATTCTGACTACCTCAGTGCTCCTCCGAACCTCAGCATGAGCTGCAGTTCTTCCTGCTCCCTCCCCCCAATGCAGGGCAGAAGAGCAGTGCTCCTGGCCCCCCAAATCTCAGTGCTACCTGAGCACAGCCCGAGCCCAGGTCCCCCCTTCAGGCTCATCACGGCCAGGAACAGGCCATTTGTCCCTGGCAGAGGATGTGAAGCTTTATTTATGAAGAATTTGGAAGGAGAAGGCTCAGACCTCGGGAGGTGGCAGACTCTCCTTCTCTGTCCTCAGCACCGAGCACACCCTGCCCTTCACAGCACGCTCCAGAGCCCTCCCTACTCGCACCCCTACTTCTCCAGGGACTGAATAGACCAGCATTTCCCTCTGAGGGGATGGATGGGTGGTGCCAAAGGATGCTATCTCTCACCTCAGGGTGCAGTCACCTGGTGAAGACTTAGGGATCCTCTGTTTTCTCAATTAAACAGGACTGGTTGCTGGAGATTTCTGAGACAGCTGGTTTCTTTTTGGTCTTGGCCGATGGGTACACAAGGACTCCTAGAAGGGCCTTAGAGGGTATGGAAATAAGGACATGGGGTGCAGGAAGAGAGGCCTGTGAGCTATAGCACCTGGATGTTTCAGCGCTCCAGGTGAATAACAGGCCCTGGCCTACGTACTGGCTGAGGGCAAGGCCAGTGTTTCAGTGGGTGGGATTAATAGGGGTGCACAGAGACTGGTGGGCTCCATGATGTCCTGTCCGGGCAGCCTGGAAACATTGGATTGGGCTCAGTAGGGCCAGGGCTGGGAATAGGGGTGATGCAGGCCCTTAGGATCGGGAGGGCAGCTGCCCCAAGGAGAGACACTACAGTGACCAAGCCAGCAGCTCCCTGCTTGCATCCAGCTCAGGGACATCCCATGTCATCCACCCAGCTGCCCAGGTCCAAGCCCAGTGTTAAACCAAGGCCCTGCCTTGGGCTGCAGAGGCAGAGGGAGGCTTGGGACCTGTGTTCTCATAGTCCCTTGAGAAAGAGCAGCAGAGGGACACTGGGAGATTGAGGAGGAAGGGCTCCCTGCACACAGGCCAGGTGGAGGTCACACTTACGGACCAGGCAGGGAGCTGGCTTATAGGGCAGAGGGAGCCTGGTGGAAGGTTGTGGATCTGGGGAAGGAGGCAGGGCTGGTTCTCGGACCTTCTCGGTTCAGGAAGGTGTCTAGACTTGACCCTGAGAGCAGAGGGCCAAGGAGCAGAAGGGGGTGCAGCAATCTGAGGGAACAGCAGTTCTAAGGCCCCTTCACCCTTCTTCGGGCTCACTCTGTCTAGCTGGGCCCCATGAACTGGGAGCTCTAAGCCCGGACAGCCTGTTCCCACATCCCACACTGGCCACCCAGGGCTTCTGCCTTCCTCAGCCTCTGCCCCATTGGTCAGGGTTTGGGGTGGGGTTGCTTACTACCCATTTCGTGACTTGGGCCCAGGCCTGTTCAGGGAGAGGAGGGAACTGGCATTAGTACAGCAGAAGGAAAGGTTGAGGAACCCTTAAGGGGCAATGTCACATCCCTCTTCCTGGGCACCAACCCTGGCCCTGCCTCTTAAAGGAGGAGTAGACTCTGGCCTGCAGTAGAAGAGGGACAGTCCTGGCTGGGACACACAGAGGAGCAGCTCCCTGGGAGGCACTGCTGTTTGTAGGGGACCAGGGTTCTTGGGTCCAGTAGTGGCAGAAAGGAGACCAGACGCAGGCTTCTTCATAGGACATCCAGTCAAGCTAGGTGAGAGACATGGCTCTGAACAAGAGTAGATCGGGCCTGCAGTTCCCTAAACAAAGGAAAAGGGTACATAACAGGAAAAACTCAGTTCCCGCTTAGGTAACTCATACAAATAAGGGATTGGAAATTTGCAGAGCATCCAGTCCTGACTGGCCAGTGTCAGGTCCTCCATGCAAAAGAGGGATTTGTACTTGTAGAAAGTGTCTGGTCCTGATGGTCAGCACCTGAGCTTAGTCCCAGGCAGTGGCATTGGTTAACGGAATCAGGCCGAGTCTCCCAAGGCTGACCCTGGCCTGCATCTGAGTGAGTAGAATTGCTGCATATTTAACTCTGGAGATGCATGTGAACCCAGTATCCTCATTTGAATTTGCCTGAAAGCACAAAACAGGCCTGACCCCTGCAGGGCCCCTTTTCAGCATCCCAGCATCTTATCAGTCTGTTCACCTCTTGGGTGGTCCCTGGGTCTCCAGTTGGGTACTTTCTGCAGGCCCCTGAGGAGCTGGTCAGAACTCTCAGAGCAGATCAGAGGGGAACCTCAACAGTATATCCTCACCCCATCCGAGAAATGGGGGACAGCCAGTCCCAGACCTGGTAGGCCAGGCAAGATGTCCAAGTGAGGGTGGGCTCATGGCCTCCAGGCTTTCCCCACTCTTCCTTGGCTCCTCTGTCCCTTTAGTAGGAGAGGGGCACCCAAAGAAGGGACTGGGATCTGGGAGGAGAAACTGGCCACAGCCCTCAGGAGGCTTCTTGCTTGGCCACGCTGCTGATATTGGATTTTTCAGTTTGACTAAGTGTATGACCTCAGTCCTCAGCCTCCTCAGTCCTGACTGCCTCTGAAAAGAGCCCTGGCCTATTCTTTCCCCCAGGCAAAGGTTCACTGCTTTTCATTTTGGGAAATAGGTTCTTCTGAAAGATTCAGGTATTTACTGGGCCATAGTCCATATTAAGGGTGACATCTCCAATACCCTATGAAAAAGACAGGTTCTTAAAGCTTTCCAAGTGAAAATTCAAAGACCCAGGAAACATTTTATGACCTCTAGAAACAGACTAAGGGGAAGACTGCCAGCCCTGCTCAGATTTCTTCACCTTGGGTGCTATATTCCATCCCCCAAGGCAGGACCTTCTGGGATGAGTCTTCAAAGGAGAAGGGGGACAGTGAACTTTCCAAGTTTTCTGGCTTGCATTGTGAGGAGAGGGATGCTAGTTTCCTTAAACCTCTTTGGAAAAAAGGAACCTGGTGTCTAGGCTCACTTTTGGTTGCAAAGGGGTGGAAGAGTAGGGCAGGGAAAGGTTAGTCTGCTCAGTTCAAAACATGCTGGGCTTGGTGGCTCACACCTGTAATCCTAGCTACTGGGGAGGCAGAGATCAGGAGAATCACAGTTCCAAGTGGGCAAATAGTTTGTGAGACCCTAACTCAAAATACCCAACATAAAACAGGACTGGTAGAGTGGCTCAAGTGGGAGAGTGCCTGCCTAAGGCCCTGAGTTCAAACTCCAGTGGTGTTAATGGCAAACGGTGTTTCCAAAAGACCTGTGCCCTGGCACAAAAGACTTGTGCCCTGGTGTGGAAGAATCCAAGCAGGATCTGTAGATGTTGCAAGAAAGAAGAGTTTTATTTTGGAAAAGGGAAAAGGGATTACCTGCTCTACCAAGAGGGAGAGGTTCCACACCAGCAGGGGAAAAGGGTTTATATCAGGTTGGTTTTATACCACCTTAAACTTGGAGGAGGGGAGAGATTACATTCATTACCTGGCTCCAGTGTCCTTAGAACCAGGGGACGGACTTGGACGTGACTCGTGTATACACCTACATTAATTCTCAGGTGCCCCGCCGTGAGGGAGGAAGATCAACTTCTTTCTAACTTATTGTAATCACAATGGCGCTCTTAAGGCATGTCAGGGAGGGGGTCTCAGTTCCAAGTTTTCCCTACAGAAGACTGCCTCAGTACCACTGCGGGTGGGGGGGGGGAAATTATCATGCCAGACACTGGTCACAGTTATGATAATTACAGAACCATTTGATACTCCTGGCACAGAGGTGAACATTTAGCACATATAATCAACATGACTTTAGCTCAGGGTACAAGTATGGTTACATTTAATTCTTCTTAGTTGGGTATAGTGGCACACACCTGTAATCCCTGCATCAGGAAGGTGGAGGGAGGAGGATCATGAGTTCAAAGCCAGTCTGGGTTAAAAATAAATAAATATATAAATTCTCTCATTGATTATTCCACTCCTGATGGTAGAAAATCCTATCAGCCTCTTGGAGTTCATTCACATTACCCAAGAACTTCCAGGGCTTTCTTAGACCAAGGAATGTTTTCTACAAAGTCTGGGCAGGTATCTCCATCTGAACACCGACCTGCACAGTCTGGTGGGTTCTCGCCAGCAGCTGTTCCCTGTGCCCGCTGCAGTGGAGCCCAGGGCTCAGGGATGAAGTGCCCTCCCCAGCTCAGCCACTCTACCCAGAGAGCAGCAGCAAGCTGGGGGCACCGTGTCCTGTGGCTGATGGTCATCTGCACCGTCTGCTGGAGGAACCCCACAAACTCATCAGGCTCTTTCTGTCCTACTGAAGCAAGTTTCCAGGCCTTTGGTGACAGTACTGTGGGTTTTAGTCTGTCCCCAACCTCACTGCTATAGGATGAGGTGGGGTGTCAGCTTTTTCCTCACCACAGGCCCAGGGTTTCATAAGCAAAAAGCACCTGTCCTCTTCTG